AGCATGGGGGTTCTATGTTTTGAGGGGTTCTTGTGTAGGCTCAAGGGACAATATGTGAGGAGTATTTTGCATAGTACCTGAAAAGGCAAGGGGTCAACGAATGGTAACCACTGTTGTCTTATTATTCTTGAAGGGGCTTCTACCCTGAAGTGGTGGCCAATCGCCGTGGATGGCCAAATCAGATAAGTCCAGGAGGAGAAATAAGGAAGTGTTCTTTGACTGGACACTCTGTTCCAGAGGCAGCCAACCCCAGCAATAAGAGCAGTGAAGGGTGAATGAAAATGATGTGGGGCCACCCTGCCTCTCAGTCCCCTTTGTCTCTAAAAAGACAACCCCAGGCTGGGTCACTGCTAGATGACACCATGCAGCTCCAGGCCGCTTTCTCCTTTCTCCTGATTCTCACCAGCTATCAAGTGCTTCCATGTCAAGGAGCAGGAGGTTGGTATGCAGTGTGGGATCTCAGAGCATGAACTGGGAATAGAGCAGAGACCCAAGAGTACAGGGTCCATTTCTCATCTCATGGGGTAAGGAGTTGATTCATTCACTTCATAAATATAAGCTGGGTGAGTGCTATGTGCCACGCCCTGTCCAGGAGCTGGTGCTACAGCCATGAGCCAAAGCCCCTGCCTTTGTGGAATTCATATTCTAGCAAGAGGGAGACAGCTCGTGCTGCAAAATGCATCCCAGCATAATCGATGGCAAAAGCACCACAGGAAATAGAACAGGGACCACTTGGAAGGGGCTTCAAAATCTGGGCTCGTGGAGGGCAAGGTGAGATTAAAACAGGGGGTGGTGAAACCACATTTGAGGGTGAGGGTGAGAGAGCAAAACCAGACTTCATTACAGGAAAGGCTCCTTCCTGGACCACTCCCTTTGTTTGCAGCTTAAAATCTGCAAGTGGAAGCAGGGAGATGAAATGTCAAATATCCAGGAAAATCTGCTGGAGACAGGGACGGTCGGCAGATGGTTTCAAGATTTTTGAGCAGCCAATAGGATTCCCTTTTAAAAATACCTAGGGCTGGGGGTGTGGGTCAGTACTAGAGCACTCCCTAGCATGCAGAAGCCCTGGGATTTTTCCCCAGCACTGAAATGTAATGTAAATACGCAGAAGCAGAAGGGAGAAAGTAAAAATGTGTCAAATCTTACCTTGCAGACATTAGCAGTGTTAAATCTCGTGCACATCCTTGCGCTCATGGCTGTCGGCATCCGTGGAGCTGTAGATGACAGATTCTTGTGTGTAAATGGAATCCTAAATGTCGGGATAGTTCTGTAGGCAGTGTCTCAAAGTTGTCCCTGAGCCCAGCGATACATCAACTGAGGAGTTTCTATTCTCACTGTGTCTTAACCAGAAATTCTGGGGCTGCTTCTCATGCAGTCTGGGTTCTAGCAAGACTTGCAGATGGTCCTGATGTACAATCAATTCTCAGAAGCTCTGTTGTATGGAAGAGGAATGTGGACGTGAACAGGACAGACTCACCCTGAGTCAGACATACATGGGGCCAGGTTCTGGTTCAACCACTGCCAAACTGTGCACCCCAGGAACACTAGTTAGTCTCTCTGACCATCAGTTTCTTCTTCTATAAATAAGGCTACTGATTTTTCTTCTTTATTGATCAAATCCAATACACAGAAGCTCTCAGTATAACTTAGCTGTCAGTAGAGTCTTGTAAAATGCTCAGGTCAACCTCTGTCACACTTAGCATACACACACAGTCACAATCATCATCCCCATTATATAAGAAAAAAAAAGTCAGTGTTTTTTTTCCTTTGGTTAATAACTGGAATAACAAAGAGGCAGGACCAAGAAAATTAAAAAGAAGTGAAATTATAGCCCATTCAAAGTCACCTTTAGGGTCAAGGGGGTGATACTGCTGTGACCAGGATATCTCAGGAACATTCCAAGCTGCCCCACTCCACCTCCCACCTTGCCTGGACAAGCTATTTTGCCTCTTTCCCGTTATCCTTCACCATTAGAGTCAGTCCTACACGTAGAAGGATAAGACAGAGCTTGAACCAAAACTTTCCTCTGCTTAGGATACTGCCTGAAATTGCACTGTAGAAATGATTGTTCATCCATCCATCCATCCTGTCATTTCACATCAATGGAGGGGGTAGAGAGCCTGCAAACCTTTGCAGCCGGACTCTGCTGGGTTTGCTTCTGGGTCCCTCTGTTTCTTAGGAAAACGTTAGGCAAGACACTTCATCTCCTTGACCCTAGTTTCTCCAGGTAATGTTGGAAGATATGGTAGCTACTGTGAAGAGTAATTTCAAGGATAAAATCATTCACCTCATGACAACAAAATGAAAGAATAAAAAGAAACTGGTCATAGTGCTTAGAGGAGCTCATGGTTACTGTGGCTTTCTAGTAACAAATACTTGCTGAGAACTGAGAGCAGGCTTGTGTTGGGCACTAGGGCTACAGATATGAGTGTGCTTATGTCCCTGTTACCAAAAGTCTTCTTGGTTATGATGGGAAGGAGTGGTTAGGAGCAGCTACCATTGATCAATTTATTTTCTATTTGTCAGTGCTTTTCCCTGGTTATCTATAAGCTCCCAAAAAGCTCCAAATGTAGATATTAGACATCCAAGTTTACAGTGAAGGAAGTTAAATGACACAAATATAGATCATCTGTGCAACTAGAGAAGTATGCAGTCCAATTGAACCCCTTTTCTCAGATTCAAAGTCTGTCCTTCTCCTGTATGTTATCCATTCTAGAATTGACTATGAGTCCAAGAGATCTTATTGTCGAAAATCAGATCTAACAGGCACTGGAGGATGGATTTCAACTCTTAGATATGACAAATGAAGAAATGGAGGCTTGGAGAAGTTCTGCTTACACATCATGCAGTAGTAAGTGGCAGAGCTAGGATTTGAATCCACTTGGGCTGGGTTCCCAAGTATGGAATTTACAGTACATCATGCTACTTATATTAAAACTTCAACTTCAGTGAAGATGGGTAAGGCTACAGTTGGGTGGAGAGAGGACAGCTGCTGTGGGCAGTTTCAACATTGTAACCCAGGACCAGTAAAACCTCCCAGGCCAGAGCTGGAAGTGTGGCTCAAGAGGTAGAACACCCGCCTAGCAACTTGAAGCCCTGAGTTCAAAGCCCAGTACTACGAACCTCCTCCCCACCAGACACACACACAAAAAGAGAAAAACAGGCAATGGGGGTGGCTGACAAGGGCATGGTTTGGCTTCACTCAACTACTTTCTCTCCTTACAGATGTCCCATATCCCTGCAATCTTCCTATGAAAAGGGGTAATTGTCCAGTTATTGCCCTTCCACGATGGTATTACAACATCCAAACTCAGAGATGTGAGTTATTTATCTATAGAGGCTGCAAAGGCAATGACAACAACTTTTTGAAAAAAGAAATATGTGAGGTCACCTGCAAAGTCACCTGATTTCCTGACCAGAGCACAGCTTTCCATGGATTCAAGATTGTTTTGTGAATAGAAGATGCATTCCTTCACCCCAATATATTCTATCTGTTGTGTTCCTAAAATCATTTCATCTGTATGCCAAAATTCCATAAACGTTGGCATTGGATTTAAAATCTCCAGACTTTCTTTGTAAAACACACATATGTATACAAATACACTGGGAAAATTCAGAAGAACCATTCACATCTTAGTATAAATCTCTGCTCTGCCCATTGGAAAATAAAGGTTTTGAAGGAGGGGGAGGTGAATTGTAAACATGGGGTATGGTATTAGAGGGCTTGCACTGGACAAGGAAAGGATTTCTGGATTCTTATGACAGGAGATAAGGGAACAACAGAAACCGGGGAAGAGGAGAGGAATTGAGAGAGAAACTGAAGATAAAGACCACTTTCAATACAACTCAGTGACGTGAAAGCCTGTATCTACCAAGGCTATGCCACAAATTCCTGTTACATGGGGAGAGGACTGAGGAGCCCTGGTTCTAGACATTGGTTTGCTTTAAGCAATACCAATGATTACTACCTGATGGGAGAGGAGGAAAACATGGGGATTGTCTGTTCATTGACTTCAGGAGTATAAATGAGGCCCAAAGTTGGCAAGAAGATTCCTTAAAAAGTACAGTGGGAATAACAAAGAAATACCCTTGATCTCCCCCCTTGCCATGACCTTCCCATAATCTTCCCAGACTCCCTCTGTCTCTGTGCTTCAAGATGAAGGGCAGAATTAAAGCTAGAGAGTTCATTTGGGCACTCACCTTACTTTCCACTCTCACCCAGGGTCCTCTCTTCCAGCCCAAGCCATCTGATTCCCACTGTCCAAGCATCATAACTACAACTCATTCTACCAAGCACTGCACGAAAACATTTAGCAACACCACACATGAACCTCGGACCAACTCTGAACACTAGATTGGACCTAGGCTGCTCAAAATGCTGTCTAAGGACCAGCAACCTGAGAACTTGGAAGAGATGTGTGGGAAAACCAGGGCTTCTACATGCAAGAATCCAGTCTATATGATGAAGTCTCAGAAAGAAGTTGAAAAGGAGAGGCAGAAGCAGCCCGAGATTCTGTGTGGCTGTAGCTAAGTCCCAGGCTATCACTTGGGACCATTGTTAACTACCGTGAACAAATCTCCCAGCACTGTGTCTGACACAAGGTACATGCTTGCTGCTGTTATCAGGAGCCCCAGCAGTGTGTGTGAGTGACTCTGAGGCATTCCATCACCTCTCTGAGGCTGTTTTTGCATCCATTACCCTTGGACAGTAATGACCAACCTCACAGGATTGGCACAAGCTTCACTGGGAAAGTGCTCACACACAGGAGATGGGCCTGAATTACTGTTCATTGTTTCAGAGTTAATCCCGTCCTGGACTTGTTGCCTGGATGACCGGGTTTCCCACTCACTTGCCCACCCTCCATGTCAGGGAAAACTGGGCAGAGTGATAAATGCAGGTGCTATGGCTCCACCAGTGCTGACAGCAGTCACTTTATTGGTTGGAAAAGGGAGAAGGTGTGTTCAGCCCAGGAAGGAATGCAGAGGCCAGAGGGTGGGGAGGGCCACAGGGATGGAACCAGATGCACAGCCAGGCAGAAACTTCCCTTTTCCTCTCCTTAGGCTGGTGGTGGCTGAAGCTGGAGGAAGAAAATCAGGATAACACCATCAACCACAATACGTGCCATCTTACATTAGAGCAGGCAGCTTAAATCTGGACCAACTTTCTCCCCACAGCCCATCCCACTCACACACATGGTAAAACTTCATGTTTTTGTGGCTTTGCTCAAGCTTCTTTTCAGCTTCTAGACTCATCTTTGTTTTAGATCATCCCCGAGACACACCTGGGTATACTGTGGTCCAGTAGGACACTGTAGTCTCTCTGAGCCTTTATCTATCTCCCCAGGACTCTCTCTACCACCAGGAAGTTCCATCACACCTTCATTCCTTAGGGTAAGCTGCAATGAGCTGATCAAGTGGATATTACTTTCCCCATTCTATATAATTACAGATCGATACATGAAAAGGTTAGTTTATGTGTCACAGCTGAACTCTGAGCTCAGGCTTCTGAGTCCAGGCTTCTTTCCCACTCATGGAGCTAAGAGATGGTTGACCTCAAAGGAGAGCTCTGGGTTTTATGGAGACCATGGCCTCTTCTTCACCACTGAAGAAGCAAGCATGGGACCTTGTGCACGTCCCCCCTCTTCGAGCTTCAGTTTTCTTATCTGTGCACTAGTGGATTCCATCCATGACCCTCAGATTCCTCTCTTGAGATCTTGTTCAATGTTGCAAATCACAACCATGATTTCTTTCTGCCCCCTCTGCTTTGAAACAGCCTCCTCACTGTACTCCACCGTACTACCTACTTTTCACTCATTTTTCAGTGTGGCTTAAGGTCACCCTTCTGCGGAGTCTTATCCAGCTGAACCTGCTCCAACCTCCCCAGACAACTGCCTGGGTGATGTTCCCTCCTCTGTTCCCACAACACTGGATGCTGACTAAAGGCACTAGGAGTGTCAGCCATTCATTGGCCTCAGCCACTGAACCACAAATTCTGGGGAGGGGTGGTGGCCACCTTTCTTTCCTAGCACCTAATACATCCATAGTACTGGACTTATCCAATGGTTCAACCAAGTATTTGCTTCATTTTTCCCCTTTCCTTTCTTATGCTTCCTTTATGACTTAATATTGTTCATTTGTAAAATTTTAGATGAGGGCGAGGGAGGATCCACAATCTTTTCCTTTCAGGACCAGAGCCACTATGGAGCTGAATTAGTACTGATCCGCTGCAGAGTAAGTGTTTAGCACATCTGGTGACCTGAACTGAAGGTAACTCATCTCTCTCACTTTGTCCCACAAAACTAAGCCTTTTGGTGAAAGTAAAATCAACTCTTGTGCCTCCCACTAGCCATGCAATTAATTACCTTCCCATCTTCTCACCAAACCTTTCAACCACTGTCCCTTCCCTCTGCAACTGTCCCCTCCCTCAAGTCACAGCTACTCCCGTCCAGCTCCTGACTTACTGCAGTGCCAGATAAACAGAGGGAAAACCATCTCCTTATCTCTCAGCCTGGATCATCAGCAAACTTTGACCCACCCACCTTATACATGTTCCACATGTCATCTCCCTCCCCTGCCTCCATCCTGGTCCAGGTCATCTCGCACCTGCCCACTCACAGGATCCCTGCCTCTGCTCTGCCCCTCTGCAGCCTATCCACATGGCAGTTGTGGGTCATTTGAAAATGTCTCAAGGGTACAATACCCTGAGACAAAACAATAGCTTATATGGCCCCAAATTATCTGCCCCAAGCCCCACTTACCTCCTGTCTCTCTTCTTATCACTCTCTCCTGCTTACTTGTTTCCTGCCATCTAGCTCTTCCTGAAGTGCCCAGGGATGTTCCTGCCTTCATACCTGCTGCTCCCTCTACCTGTAACACTCTCCAAGATATGCCCATGGCTCCTTCTCTCCTTTCCCTCCTTCTTAACCCCTTTCTGTTATCTCCCTGTAAGATAACATAAAATCTGCTTGATAGTTTATTTTGTTTATCTCCCACTAGACCTTTGACCCCACTATCTGATTTGTTCATTCATGGAGCATCCCTGGCACCCAGAACAGTACATGGCATTGACAGATGCTGCAAATAAATGGACAGAGCACCAGTGAGTTTGCCATAGCTCTCCTTTTCAATCTTCACCCCTGGGCATCAGTGCACCCCTTCTCCACCCCCACCTACCTCAGAAGTTGGGTGTAACACAGGACACTTTTCCACAGCCATTGCGGCAGCACTTCATCTTGCCAGGACACTGACTGTCCATCTCACACTGGTCCTCACAGATGCCAAGCTGGGAAAGTCCACACTGGGGCAGGTACCTGCCTTTTCTGGGTAGAAAAAGGAGTAGAGGAGATAGACTGAGGATATGCAGGGAGCTGGAATGCAAATCATGACCTCCCACTACCCTCAGCTGGTTTCCCACCAGCCAAGCTGCCTGCCTGAGCTGCTCTCAGGAGTTCTGAAAAGATTGTGTGCAAATTCCTCCTCCTCCTGCTCCCAGATGGCTTTGGAGTCTTAAGACCTCAGTTTGAGTCCCAGCTCTGCCATTTTCTAACATTATGGCCTAGGGTCAGAAACTTCCCAGATCCTGATAGTCTTCAGATGCCAATGTCACATAGAATCAATGTCACCTGACATCATGGGGTTGTTGCAAAAGCAATGGAAGCAGACATCTATTATTTCTCCCCCAAAGAGCAAATTACCTCGTAGTTATAATGAGCAGTTGTAGCTAGCAGTGAACCCTTACTTAGCTCCTGCTATGGTTCAAGTGTTATTCTAAGCGCTCATCTAATTCTCCCAATGACCTTAAAATAGGAGAGGGGTCTGTTAATATTTGCTCATGTCACAGAGGAGGAAACTGAGGCACTGACAGGTTAAGTACTTTGTCTAAGGCCATCAGGATGGAGGCAAGATTGGAATGGCAAGAAATTTGATTCCAAAATCTGTGCACTGGACACCAAGTACTATGCTGCTTCGTGTACTCTAAAGGGCATTGTACGTGTGAGGGGTTACAGACTCAAAATACTGCCTTCACTCACTCCTGTAGGCTCGCCCCCAGCTACTCAGCACCATGGCCCTCCAGACATGCTCACCCCCCATGCACACTCATGCACAGATCAAAACCACGCCCCTTCACCAACACAGACACACATGCACGGACGCACGCACAGACACACACCATGCTCCACTTTCTGGGGAGAGCGAAGCCAGGCTCAGTGAAATCAAAACAGAGGCGGAGAACTGGATTAGCTGCAAAGGACCATGAGAATGACTGACAGAGTTCTAACTTCCTGTGGAAAGAAATCCCTTGCCTTGAGAAAGGCAGAAGCTCCTGGGGAGAAACGGAGCTGTTTACTAACAGACTAAAGAGACACTTCCCACATACCATTTCACTTAGCCCTCATGTCAATCCTCAAGCTTGCGAGTACCATTCCCACTTTGCAGACAAGAAAGCAAAGGTTCCCAGAGATAAAGCAACCAGTGCAGCAGTGCACACCCAGGAAACAGCAGAGCAAGGAGTCAAACCTTCAAGCTAGGCCCTGGTTCAGGGAACTTCTGGCCTGTCCCCTTTCCTGCCTCAATCTGTCCATCTGAGACAAGGGAAGAACTTCATCCACCTGACAGTGCTGACTCCTTTTGTTCCTCCCCTGTCCTGTCTGTCAGTCTGCCTCTGGTTTTCTCTCTCCAGCTTCATCTTGCTTCTGGTCCTTTTCTTTCAGGTCCACATTTAGGGTCCTCTACACCCAGAAGCTGCTCCTGATGGGCAAGTCCTCTCTCCACTTCCCAACTCCCTACTCCTGGTATCTGGTCATTACAGACACTCCCAGCCCCTTGCTGGCTTCTTTGGAGGAAACAACAAAGAGGAAAATGGCAGGCAGTATTCTGAATGAACCAGTACTCTGGTCTCTCACACCCCTCCCCATTATCCCTGCCTCTCATCCTCAATTGGATTCCACCTAAGACCCTTTCCTTCCCTGATCAGAGTCCACAGCCAGGTGGACTTGACCTCCAGCAAGCCCCTGAGGGTGCCTCCAGCTCTCTCCATCCTCATGGTGAGAGAGACAGTTTTAAAGATAACAAGGGAGGATGAGGTGCCCAGAGAGGGATCCTGACTTTCTTCAAACCATTTAGCCAGTAAGTGGCAAAGTGTAAAACAGAACCTCTGCCAGCCACGGGATGGCGGTGTGACCTTGGGCAAGAACAAGTCATTCTCTGCTGCTCACTTCTACAGACTTAAGGCTTTCTCTAAATCTGCAAAGTCCTTTGCGGCCAGGGCGGGTAGGAATCTGAGTTGTCCTACCAGGCCAGGCTCTCCTGCAAGGGAGGGACTCTGAGTAGCCTGAGCGCTTAGGCCTTGAGAGGCAGCTCGGAGACCAGCACGGGATTCCCCGCGGTCTTCAGCTCGCCCGGGAAGGAAGCTGCGCCCTGGATCCCCAGGCTGCCCGGAACAATGTCCTGCTGTGCGTGCCCGGAAGCCCGTCATGCACCACAGAATCGAGTCCAGCCAGGGGTGGGGGACCTCCTCCCTCGGCCTCACCTGAGTGACGCCTTTGTCTCCCCCGAGCCCACGCGAGGGAGGACACAGGCGGATCTAGTTTCATCCGCCTAGATCTTCCCGAGGTCCCTGATTCTAGGGGCGCCCTTCTTCCCTGAGCCCGGACACTCCCTCCTCTCCAGCCCTCTCGGCCCGCCCGGTTCCCGCCAGGTCGCCGCGGGGTTACCATTGGGCACCGAGCACAGGGTGCTGCAGCCAGCCTGGCAGCACTTTCGGGTGTCCGCGCAGTCGCTGTCCGAGACGCACTCCTTCGTGCAGTTTGGATCCGCCTGGAGCTCGGGACACACGCCGGATTTTTTTGCTTCTGTGCCTGGAAGTGGATGGGGACAAGCGGACTGTGAGAGGCGGGGGAGGGCGAGCTCCAATCCCAGATGATGCCCACCTTCTGCTCCAAGGGCCTCAATTCTCGACTCCAAGGAATGCTCACTCTCTGGCTTTAAGGGTCTCCTTAAAACCCCCAGTTGGGGTAGGGGGGAGAGGGAGGGGGCGGGGGGAGGGGGGAGAAATGATCCAAACAACATTGTATGCACATATGAATAAAAAAAAACGGTTGGTCCCACCTCCTGGCTAGGTCTCCAACACCTGGGAGTACAAGAGTTGACTTCAGAGCCCTCACGTGGCAGTGCTCAGGGGACCCTCAGGGGACATCTAGGCAGATGCCCACTGCATTGCAGCCAGACTCCGCCTACAGCAAGAACCCACTCCCCTCAGTTGTCTCCCCACCACCAGTACGCTGGACCCCACACCCTAAGTTTCAAGGGTCATTAGCTGTAGGCCTGGGGGGGGTGTCCACAAATTTTAATTTTCAAGCATCTTCCCCTTTTTGCCCCAGGAATGTCCACTTCTCCAGCCTCAGAGGGCTACACCTGTGCCTAGCTCTGGCCTGCGCTGGTGGCTCAGCCCTTCTGGGCGCCCGGCCTCTACCTGTCCCACTCACCTGTGGCTGCGGGGAGGTCAAGTAGCAGCACCCCAAGGAGGAAGGCTGAGGCCAGCAGGCAGAAGCGACCGATACCGACAGGCATGGTGCTGCGCTGTGGCTGGGTGCGGGTGTGAACTATAGCGGGAGTGGGGGGATTTAACCCCGCGCGGGAGGGCGGGGGGTAGGGGCGGGGCCGAGTGAAGGGTGCGGGAGGAGGGGAAGGACAGGCGGGGGCAGGGGCGTGGGGAGGGGGGGAATAGAAAGTCCAGCGGGCAGCGCGGGCGCCCTGCCACCTCCAGCCATTTCACAATCCCCTGGGATCAAGTGTCACTCTTGGCCCCAGTGGGAACCAGGAACCAAAGAAGCTTCCAGGAGGGGAGCAGCTCAACCAGCTGCAGCCGGACCCTTGTCCACTCCTCCCTCTCTTCCTTCCTCCTGGGGCCTAAGGGCAAGGCAGCAGGAAGGGAGGGCCCAGGCCCAGGACTCCTGGGCTCCATTTCAAGAGTCTGGGGTCCTCTCTGGAACTTCTGGGATCTAGGGTTGAGCAGGAAAGGGCAAGGCCACAGGGAGGCAATAGACCCTGAGGATTAAGTGGTGGGACTTGGGGTCAGTTGGATCAGAGTGCAAATCCCCATCAGGGATTAGGGGTGAGAGGCTGGTGTGGTGATGCAGGCACATACTAGTGGCTACACATGTATGTAGTGGCTATAGCATGTTATTAACAAGTGAACCCATTTGACAAGAAACAGGCAATGCAAACAGTTTCCAGCCATCTAGGTGTGTCTTTCTGCCTCTTCACACCACACCTTGTAGGGGCTGAGTGTTGGGCTCTGTGCTACTGGTCGCCTGGAATCTTTCCAGCAGCCTATGACTAGAGTTATGACTGTATATGACAAACAAACTGGACAGTCAGAGGTTTGGGCCCCTCCTCCCCAAGGTTTCATGCAAAGCTGTATAGGCAGGGTTCTGAACTATGCATCTCTTGCTCCAGGGCCTTGTTTTCTCCACTCCATCATGAATATTTTCTGAGTGCCTGTGTGACATATGTAGGGGGAGACCTGTGGAATAGTGAAAGTAATCAAAAGGAGCTGGTGAGCTCTAGATTGCAGGTGACAGGGTCTATATATGATTCTCACCTCCACCACTTCCCAACTGAGGGGCCATGAATGAATCATTTCCCTCTTCCAGGACTATATAAGAGTTGTCTATATAAGAGTGATAAGTATGTAAAACATCATTGAGAATATGAATGTAATATTCCTGCTATGGAACAGATATATATCCTGGTGGGTAACTCCACACTGATTGGCATAAGAACCACAGGCATGGCAGGTAATAAGTACATAAATGGCCATGATTGCCCAATAAATAAGTGTCTATGTTACTAAAGAGATGTATAAACCCAGTGACCCTCCACATCCAGGGGTTCTACATTCTTGGATTCAACTAACCTCAGATGGAAAGTGGAAAAAATTACATCTGTACTGAACATGTACAAATGTTGGTTCCTATCATTATTCCCTAAATAATACACTATACAGTTATTTATACATAGATTTGCATTGTATTAGTTATTGTAAATAATCCACACGTGATTTTAAGTATATGGGAGAAGGGACTGAACTTTTGTGGGTTTTGATACTCAGAGAGGTCCTGGAACCAATCCCCTGCAGATATTGGAGGACGACTATGTATATCTAGCTTTAGAATCTGGGGTGGCCTAAATAGCTACCGAGGGAGTTAGACAAGAAATGCCTGCAAACATTCTTCTGGCTCCAGTGATCTTACTTTTTGCAAGCTCCAGGGAGTCTTTGTGGCTGGAGGTTAGAGGAGGCCTGGGGCAGTGGAAATTGGGGTGACAGGCGAGGGATGTGAGTGCGTCCAGCACTGTCCTCACGATGAATGTTGGTAAAGAGTCTGATAATGTCTCCCCAAGTTTCCCATGCTTACCTTGGGGACTGGAGACATGCCGTTGTTGGGAGGGACCAGGCATATTTACTCTAAGCTCAGAGAAAGTTAACAATGAGGGCAAGAGCACAGGTGGGGACACAGCCCAGGGCAGGCTTCAGAACCCCAGGGCACACGGATGACACTGGTTCTAGCCTGTAGACCAACTGGCTACTGAACATTCAGCCCTGGGCTCTGTTGCCCACAGCTTTCTTCTGGGACTTGTCCAGCTCCTCCTGACCAGGCTGCCCAGCATTACCCTCCCAGCTCCTCACGGGCTCTCCTGATGATTGACTCTGTCTCCTTATAATGAAGATTGGTATGAGGTTCCCGGTGTGGGGGGGGGTAGAAAGATGGAGTAGAAAGTTTCAGCTTTTGTGGTGCCGGACTCTGTGCTAGGCAGTCATGTGTTTTCCTTATGCATAAATTGAAAGAGCAGAGGCTTTAGAACCAAACGCATCAGGCTCCAAATCAGGTGTTAGTCACTTCCTGGCTGTGATTTGAAGCACTTCCCATTTGCGGGCATGATCATAACATCTTGTAGGATTATCATAAGAATTAAAGGGAACAGCATACATCAGAGGCTATAAGTTCAGCTGGAACACATATATTATTGGCCCACGTGGTACATTTTTATTTGCCAAAATTTAAAAGTGGGATTTTCCCATAAAAATAAGTCTCTGGCATCTCTTAGAAAAAGTACAAGATCTCAGCACACTCCTGCAATTATCAGCAAGAGCATGGGACTCAAAACAACTGAGTTTGCATCAGAATCATATGGAGGAACTGTTAGAACACAGGTCTGGGGTAGAACCTCAGAACATGCATTTCTAACAGGATTCTAGGGGATGCCGATGCTACAGATCTAGAGATCATGCTTTGAAAGCTGTGACCTAGAGCTAAGAAGAGTTGCTATCTTTTTATGAAAGATGTATTCCCTTTCATTTCCCATAATCCCGACCACTCCTTATTGCTTCTCATGCCCCACCCCCAACTATTTCCAGTCATGAAATGCCTCTCTACCTGTCCCTGGAGGGCATTTAAATTTGTGGCCTGTGAGGTGGGCATGTAGGAAGTGTTCAATGAAAGGTAGCTCGTATTTATTTAACAATCTTATGCATTCAGTCATACTACTCTCACAGATGAAGAAACTGTGATTCAGCTGGCAAAGTGACTTGCTGGAGGAAACACAGCCAATAAGTCAGAAGGAAGGGCTAGAGGAGTGACTCAAAAGGTAGAGTGCCTGCCTCACAAGCATGGAGCCCTGACCTCAAACTGCCAAAAAAACAAAGAACGAAAGAAATACCTTCACAAGGAAGCTGAAAAAAAAAAAAAAGAAAGGAAAAAAAGAAAAAAAAAGAAAGGAAGAAAAAAGAAAATAGAAGTATTGGGCTGGAGGCATGGCTCAAGTGGTGTAGGGTGTTGTCGAAGACCTGAATTAAAACTCCAGTACTGTCAAAAAAAAATAAGAAGGAAGATACTTACCAATCTTTTGCTCATGTGGTTCCAGTTATTTCAATATTACATAGACACACACACACACACACACACACACACAAAATCTGAGGTAAGAATAGATGACATATCCAAAAATTTGAACATGACTTCATGAATATGAAGTAATCTTTATCAAGAAAAAAAGAGAAAGGAAATTGAAAGGAACAAAGGAAAGGTTTATAATGGAAAGTGATGTTAGTCACCTGTAGACATGCCTATTCTAAAGTGACTGTAAACAAGTTAATGGTGAAAATTCAAGAAATTCCCAGTAATGAACAGAGTGTCTATAATGGCAATGGAGCTTTGTCCTCTTGAACTATTGGATCCAATCGAACTTCCTTTCATTTATGGAAATCTCTCTCTCTCTCTCTCTCTCTCTCTCTCTTTCTCAGTGTACTGGCTGTTTTGTTTGGTTACCTACAATTGGTTTATCTATTTTTTTTTTGATAAAGCACCTTATTTTGGTTTGACTCTTCCTATACCAGGACAGGTGGGATGGAAGATCTGTCAAAGTGCCTGCTTTACCACTAGACAGAGTTGCTAACCAGATGCTGTCCTTGGGATTTTTCTCTTGAACAACAAATGACCAAAGACCTGAGCTCCCTCAGAGATGCTCTGAGAAGACCTCCATTCTACCTACATTTCCATCCTTTCCAAGTTGTGTTCATTTAGCTGTCCCTTCAGTTCTGTGAGCTAAACCAAATCAGTTAGTGTCATTGATTGCCAGCAATAGAATTCATCCCTGCCAATTAAAGATACATTGGGAAGGAAGAATAGACTCCCTATATCTCCACACCATTTTTATAAATCCTTTGTCAATCAATTCAAACTCAGAGACTGAAAAAGTGAAAGGATTTGGGATATTAGGAATAGCAATCCAGGAGACAGAGGTGCAGAGAGCTCTGCATCCATGTTCCAGGAAAGGCAGAGGAAGATGGGGGCTTACAAGGGCAAGCAATACAAAGAGAAAGTCCTTTGTAGGACTCTTCTGTTGAAATTGAAAAAGAACAGGTGCAGAATGACAGGGGCTCTGTGATCCGTGACAGAGAAAGAAAAGAATGCTTGGTAAAAATGCTCATAACGCAAGAGCCCGGTAACTGTTGATATACATCTGGAGCCTCTGGGCTCAAAGCAATCATCTTTCCTATGTATGCCTGTGGTCGGAAGGACAGAGTGGCCAAAGTTCACATTCCTAGGCGAAGTCTAGGTCCTGCTTTCTAATGGCCTCCCAACTCAATTTTGAAAAGCTCTTTCAATGCTGTTTTCATCATGGTTTTTCCTTTGATACCTTCTCTGCTTACAATCATCAGAACTGGTTTCTGTTGCTAACAACCAAAGAGATCTGATTCCCTATACCAGGGTGATCAAATTCAGGGGCATTTTCTCAGCTTTCATCTCCTCTAACTCACAGCTGAGACCTTCATGGCATAAATGTAATAATGTCCAAACTGAATCCTTCATATAAAAATTCTTTTCACATGGTTTCAGTGCAAAGATTAACAAAAAGCAGAGATTCTCTGCTTGAAGTCCCTTGAGTCCTCTCTTATGAATTCCCAGAGCCTTTAAGGGTCCCACTTTTTAAATAAGAAGAAAACATCTTATTTAAGAGGCTAGGTTTTAGAGTCAGCCTTGAATTTGAATCCTAACTCCACCATTATT